GGGAAAATAAGGAATGGCGACGAGAGGCGTAAGGAAAAGTGGAGGCTACCAGTAGATCTACTTGTAGAGCTGATGATTCAGAGTTCAGCGTGCCTCTAACGTGTTTATTGGACTCTGTGGATTTGTGAGTATTTTTTGGAGGAGCTTATTCTTTTAGTTACGTGACTTGCAAGTGCTAGTGATATTTGCAACACGCCATGTCTTGAAATGCTTTTCAGACGAAGGGTACATCGTCATTTGGTAAGCGACGAAATAAGACGCACACCTTGTGTCGTCGATGTGGATCCAAGGCATACCATTTGCAGAAATCTACCTGTGGGAAATGTGGTTACCCTGCTAAGCGTAAGAGAAAGTGTAAGTAACAAACTTGTAGGTGACTTGAGTTTAAAAACCTGTGTTTCTTTATCTTCTACAGTAGTCATGACTTTTTTTCCGATCAAGGAGGAAGACTGTGTCATCTTGCAGTGTTTGGAGTTTTTTTCAAATTAATGCTGATTTAACTATATTTTAGCTAATGTGCAGTATTACTACATAGAAATTGACTTAACTTATAGGGTTTTTTTTGGTTCTGTCAGGTTGAATAATTATGCTATACAAATGTAACATGCAACTTAATGATTTGGTGCAGATGAGTAATAGTAACTTGTATGTTTTAGATAACTGGAGTGCAAAGGCTAAAAGACGCAACACCACTGGCACTGGTCGCATGAGGCACCTGAAAAAGGTCTATCGTCGATTCAGGTATAACGTTTTATTACAAACCAGTGCAGTGTGAAATTATCTGTAGATGTCACTTAATTATGAAATTCATCGTTCAAAGTTAACATTTTTATTTATTTAGTATACTTAATGTGGTATGGTCTTTCTTCTTAAATATATCATGAAATAAATAATGCATTATGTAATTGAGTATAATATAATGCATATTCCTTTGAGGATAAAAAAACTCACTCTTAAGACATAGGATGTATAACAAGCTCTGATGTTTCTATTAAGTGTTGATAGTACAGAACACAGATGTTTTTGTAAAAAATGCCCACGTTTAAGAAGATGTGCTTTGTGTAGTACTGCCTCTGTTTGTGAGTGAATTAAATTGCTGGTTGCACTGAAGTGTGGGTTTTTGTAAGAGACAAGTCTTGAAATGCATTTCAGTTCCGTTTTGCCCACAAAAAAAGAGTTCAGGACTGGAGTAACTTCAGTAGTCACTGTCTTATTTGGAGTTCAGTTAGCAGTAAGTAGCTATAACATCAGTTTCTGTGTTACAGGTTTCTAAAACTTGTTACAAAGCTTTTGAGTTATACCTTACGAGTTAATGGTATTGTACTGTTAAACTCGTATAAAGAATTTATTTTGTATGACTTCCATGTTCTAAAATTGGGCTGTGTAGCTTCTGGCCTAATACACAAGAAGGCTGGATGAAAAATACCAAGTAATTCAAGAGTCGTCTTGTAAAAATGCAGGTTGGATTTAACAGTGAAAAATGGGAGTCTTAAAGTCCCAGACCTGGGTGTAGTTGAGAGATCATTCATCTGTTTGTTTTGGTGAATGCAGTCTTCCCCAGCAGCAGCCAGAAAATACCTCATAGTCTGCAGTTGTAGCCTGCTGTCCACTGAGTGTTGCTGAAGTAGAAAAAAGTGAGCTTCGGACTGACTCTTCTTTTGTAAAGCCTGTCGTAATCTCTGGTTGGAGGCATAGAGGATTTCTGTAAGAAATTGACTTGCACTTCACAAACATGTGGTCTTCTGCTGAGATGCTTTGTAGGAACATAAAGTAAGGCACGCCTTCAGCAGGTGTGCTGTATCTGATGCAGTCTTGCAATGTTCACTCCGTAACTGAAATCTTACTGTTTGAAGAAGTTAAATTTACTTCAGCAGAAGAGAGTGAAAACCATACTGCTTATTCCAACAGCTTGTTAATAGGATGTTTCTTATTAAAATGTCTGAACCTATGAACTCTCTAGTGATTTCGGTGTATTACTGAGGTAAGCTGACAAAAGGCTGATGAACTCCATCTAAAACATTACTTGTTAGAAAATAACCTGGAGCAGGGATCATCCTTTCAAAAAGTGGTAACTATGTTTCTATTTGCAGGAATGGCTTCCGGGAGGGAACCACCCCAAAGCCCAAGAGAGCAGCTGTTGCAGCCTCCAGTTCGTCGTAAAGACTCATCTATTTGTTAAAATAAATGGTCTTATCCAGAAAGTCTGTCACCTTTTATGCATATTTTACTTCAGTGAAACGCGGGATTTCTGACAATACGTACATCTACACACACTTTCTTAATGGTATACATTGAAATGATTCATTCGAAACAATCATTTAATTGACTTTTCATTTGATAGTACCTCTGCCTTGAAAAGGACCATTATCTCTGCACTGAACTTAAAGGCTGGTTTGGGTTACTTAAAAGAACTCACCTGCAAGAAATGGAATATTGGCACTATGGACTTGCACTGCTTGCCTCTTGAGTTTCATTGTGCCCTAGCATGGAGAGTCAGAATTTAATCTTAAAGATAGTCACTTGAATAGTAGCTCTGTCTATGGTTCTGGGAGGCAATAGTTAAAGAGGAATTTCCCATCTTAGCCATTTTTCTCTGCTCTGTGACATTGGAAGGCTTGCAAAAGTATTGCTTATTCAGTGGGTCACTGCTGCTTGGGCAAAAAGAAGCTCCCAAGTCCAGAGCACACATACTGCCAGACACAAAGGAATTTGAGGTCTGCTGTAGTTAATGACAGAAGTTGCCCAAACGATCTGGGGAGGTTGGTATGGAAAGCTGACACACAAAAAGATCGGTGTTTATGATGGGTGTAAACAATAAGTGGTAGCTAGTATGACCTGGGGGTACATACGAGTTGATGCCTCATGGATTTGTACCTTCTGTGGTCTGTTACTGGGCTACTCGGCTGCTTTCAGATTCAGCTTTGAAAATGTGCTCATAAGATGCTGTTAAATGGAAGTTTGGGGAATTGCAGTAATCACTGCAAGGGTTTAGAGGATTTTCAGATGCTTTGAAGAGAAAAATACTAAAAAAACCCAAGAACTTCTGATGCTTTAAAGTTCTGAGGCTGTCCTTGATATGATTCCTTTGGTTTCATCATGAACTTCCAGAAGCAGCATACTGCTTTGTCAGTACTGAAGGATCAGCAGTTAATGTATCAACTTGTGCAAATCGCTGAAGCCAGGTGTGAAATTAGAGTGCACCTGACTGCACTGTCTTGCATTTTTAAATGAAGTACAGTTAATACTTTTGGATACTTGGGTTGTTTCTAAACAAAGAGAGAAACCTTTCCCTGCTGTTCTCTTAGCGTGTAACAAATCCACTATACTCGCGCTACTTTCAACTGGTCCTTCTGAGAGCGTCTGCAAGTAAGTGGTGGTGAAGCTGTTCAAATACACTTTGTCCAACCTACATGTTCTTGTATTCCCAGGGCTCAGGAGTGCACCTGAAATGTGTGGTCTTGGTGATACACTAGGAAACACGTAAATGTAGGAGGAAGTGTCACTGTTTCAAGGCTGAGTCCGGAGCCTTCCCGATTGAGCGAATCGAGCCCCACGTTGGGCACCAAAAAAATCTGTCGCCGTGTAAGGCTGGGCCGGCTCTTAAAAGGGGCGGCAGAGGCTCTCTGTTAACGCCATCCCTCCCCCCGGGAGAGGAAAGGACAGAGAAAAGCGAGAGAGACTGATGGGTTGGAAATTAAAACTACTTTAATAATACAATATTGATGGAAAATAGTATAAGGTATTAATACTAGTACTACTAATAGTGGAAATAAGAGGAAAAGTATACAGAACTGATACTGAGTGTCGGCTGGGGGGGTTCAAGGCGCAGGCGTGCCA